TCATTTTATTTTAGTTTTCACATTAGGCTTTCTAATCAGTCTAGATTTTATTTTTGAGGGTGAGAAGTAGAGACTAATTAATTATCTAGCACTCAGGGGATGAATAAAATTAAACCATTTAATATCTATTTTTACCATCTCAAAATAGAGGATAACATCAAAGAGATAAGAAACTGTAAAAAAAAATTTTTTTTTTAAGCTCATCTTTTCCACTCCACTAGTCTCCCTTAAGTGACACTTGTTATTGCCTCAATGAGGCAAATGTTAAATGGTGGTGGCTGCACAAGGTGCATTGGCGATCTCTCAGCCACTGCCCATCCTGGTCTAACAACTCAGAACTGATCTCATGGATCTGTGTGTCCAGCAGAAGAAAGGCACCATCCTGGAACCTCCAAGTAACCTGAGCACACAGGGGATAGGAAGCCCACACTTTCCCAAGCCTCCAGTTCCTCTGAATCTCAGCAGAAGTCTCTGCTCCCGTCCTGGGGAGAGAAAACCAGCCTGAGTTTACAAAACCCTGACTTTGACTTCCTGTAATGACTTCCTCAGGCAAAGCTGACCAGAGGAAACCATATTCTTGGCTGGCTGATAAGAGGAAAGAGTGTGTTTGAAGCTGCTCTATTTTCCCCTTAATCTGAAATAGGTCACGCATGGCAGGCCTCTGCTGGCTGTGTGCAGACTGTGTGCTCAGCTGGCTGTGTGCAGACTGTGTGCTCAGTGAGCGCCGCTGGCATCCTGTCCCCCTACCCTCCCTCAGGCTGGTGTGAGGACTGAAGTCTTGTTACCTTGGTTAACAGGTTGTGGGACTAACGTCTGTGTAGGGTGAGGAGTGGAAACGTCCCCCTTCTCTTGACAAAGAGCTTGCTTGAGTTTGTGGAGTTGCCTATGCTATCTGCTGAGCTGCTTTACTTGGGGATTGCTCTGTTGGCTGAGCTCCAGCAGTGTCATCCAAGTGACCTGAAACGGCAAGTTCTGCTGCTTGCCTTTGTAGTTTCCCATTTTAGGGATTTGTTGGTACTTCTTCCGGAAGCAATGGGATCCTCTGGTTTTTCCCCCATGGCACCCACTGTGTGTGTGTACATGTTTGTATATGCATCACAGAATTTTCCGCATGGGTATGTTTTATGGCTGGATTGTTGATACCCCCAGAGAGGCTGTGATTAAAGATCATAGTGTGAGGCAGATTTCCTTTGATCTTAAGAACTGCATATCTGGATTTGTGCTCCTGCGTCTTTGCAAAATGGAGACGCAGAATCTCAAGTGGAAGAGTGACTGCTCCGTTGGGGCCAGTCGTTTTGGCTTTCTTCAGGACTCTGCTTCTGAGATATCAGAGGGAAATTAACCCAGGGGAAGCCAGGGTGCCATTTTTCAGGGGAACAGGTGTATTTTTCTACACATTTTTTTGGGGAAGTGAGGTCTTGGAGTTTTGAGGAAGTCAAGGGTGAAGTCAGCAGAGACGGTTATTTATATCTGTGTGTGATGTCTATCGAAAGCTCAAGCTTTCATTCTCCTGTCATCCCGGAACCAGTTCAGAGAAGAGGAAGGGCGTATCTTGCCTTGTTGAACATCGACTACACTAAGAACGTCTAGTGTGGTTTAAACTTTGGGTAATCTGTATGGGGGCTCTGTGGTGTTAGAAGTGTGACCACTCGTTCCTCCTTCTGTCTACTTTGTGGATAAAAGCTCACTTCCGGTTAGTTGATCCACTGAGGCTCTTTATTTATTTATTTATTTATTTATTTAATCTACTTTGTGGATAAAAGCTCACTTCCGGTTAGTTGATCCACTGAGGCTATTTATTTATTTATTTATTTATTTATTTATTTTTTTATTTCTAACTTTCCCAAGATGATCCACAATGTGAGAAGCCTGGTGGGGTATGAGTGAGTGCGTGCGTGCGTTGGGGGGTTGAATTATCGTCAAACACAAAATGAGGGTGTAGGAATCTAGCAAGCACGAAAGAATGGGGCTAAGAATCCCTGGTTCTCTACCATATTAAATAATGTCTTCTGTCACTAGCTCCCCATCTTTACAGCTCTTGTGTGCTGATATTCCCCCCACCCCCGGCTCTTTTCGTTATGGGAAATGAACGTGTTTGGGGACAAACATGTCAGAATTGTGAGGGAGAAACTTGGCAGCGAGAGGAACTGTGTGATGTGCTTGACAAGAACTGAGAAACAACACACCTCAGGTTTTTCTCAGACAGTTCTCAACTTCTGGTTCAGAAACATGACTCAGAGGCCACAGAAGGGGAAGCACTCCTCAGCTCAGAGAGGGCTCTCTCAGCTAATCTTCACTGAGAAGCCAACAGTGGCCATTTCCGCACAGCAAGCTGTAGCATCTGAGGGAAAGCCTAGCTCTGCTCCATTGGGCATGTCGGGCACTGAAAGTGACAACGTTTATCTTTCATAATGAAAAGAATTGGGGTAAATGTCCAGAAGACAAATGTCCATAATGATGGGGCAATGAGAAACTACAAGTGGTGGGAAGCAGGTGTGCGTTGGCATAAATATGGCGATTCTTAACCCCAGTCTTTGAAAGTTGGCCTTTTACGAGAAAGAACTTGGTCTAAATAGTGAGAAAATATTAGTTCATGTAATTAGAACCCCTTGAGTTGAACAGGAAACAGTCATTGGATGGCTGCAGGTGCTTGCAAGCAAGGACGGTCTTGGTGTGTTGATTCCCTCTTTTTCCCCCAAGGAGAGTGTTCCTGGAATGGAGCCATGGGATGTAAGAGGAGATAGACAACTTGCAAAATGCATGAACAGCACAGGAAGGCTCTCAACTTGGTAGTAAGGTTCCAACTCCAGGGAAGGTGTAAAGGGTGTCTCCAGATTTTCATTTTTGTTTGTTGAAGGGGTGTGGGCATCTCCTACCCCACCCTATCCCTTTCAGAATATGAAATTTGTAAGCTTCCTCTACCTTAGGGGTTGAGTCTATTATCAACTCCACTTCAGGGTTCACATACTAAAGAAAGAGTTCACTATGACTTAAGGAAAAAAAAAAAAAAGTCAGCCTACTTTCTCAAATCCAGTTTCTCTCAGCAGCCTTCATTGTCAAGCTGCTGGTGTTGAATGGGAGGCAGGTCCAACACTGACTACATTAAATCCTTTCCAAACCAGCGTGGAGAAAAATCAATAAATGGTTGTGTGACTCACCCCAATGCATAGAAAGGTGTGATATACACCACGAGAGAAAACAAACAAAGCACTGATGGAAAATTGATCTCATTAGTGAGACTTATCTGTGCTGACGTTTGGGATTAGCCTGAAACATGAGGTGAATACTGGCAGTTTAAGAAGAGGGCATCACTAGTCTGTCTATCTTATTTGTGTATGGTAGGGTGGGTACGTGTGTATACATACAGGTGGAGATGAGCGGCCAATCACTTGGAGAACCTCAGTCACTTGAAGAACCAGCCTGCCTCCATTTCGGGCTTCAAAGCCATCTTAGTAAAGACAAGAGACAAGATAGGTTCATCCCTGTTTATGATTAAACCTCTGTTTCTCAGGGATTGGGCTATGTCCCATCTATAAACTTAACTAGAAATGGCCCTGCATTGTCTGTTCCAGGAATGGCAATATTACCTTTGTTTCAAAAGGGTGTGGGACCACCTGTGACTATCTTGTTATGACTGCCTGTTGTTATGCCCACCTTGCAATTACGTCTTTTTTTCAAGAGCCTGTTTAGGACTGACTTATGTTTATTTTCTGTTCCTGTAATGCTACCTATTTTGCCTGCCACATCCCCCATTTGGAAACCCCCTACCCCTGAGCTATAAAAGCCTTGTCTTCCTCAAATCCAATGCTGATCTTCTGAACTCTGCCTTAAGGGGTGGCAGCCCATGCACACGGAAAAAAAAAAAAAAAAAAGCTTGCTTTAATTATTTGCTTGCCTTAATTAATTTGGCCATGATGATTTGGATCAGTGGTCTTTCTCCTCCTGTCTTTGGGATTAACACATGCTCCACCATATTTGGAAACAGGGTCTCTCACTGAAGCTGGAGCACACCCATTTGGCTAGACAGCTGCCTGTCTCCGCACCTTCAGTGCTGGGGTGACACTAAAGAGAAGAGCTTTTACCCGGGTGCTAGGGATCGGAACGCAGGTCCGTCTGCTTGCCTAGCGAATGGTTTCCCGCCCCTGATATTATTGTGGTATTTTGTAATACCAGCTGCATCTATAACTAACCATGCCCTGGAACTTTTATAGGACTAGTCCTGGCTGGCTCTCCTGCTGACGGGAGCATCTCGACTGTCCTTCAGTGGGCCAGCTCTCACCTACTCTCAGCCTAAGTGGCTTAAATGAGATTGGTTTCATCTGGGCTCTGAGGTAGGCATGACCCAGTCTGGCCAATAAGAAACTACTTCCTTAGCACAATACCAATTGATTCTGGGGTGGGCTTGTGTTTCAGATTGAACTAATTTGGGAGGCTTTTTGCTTTTTTTTTTTTTTTTCTTAAACTATTGTTTTGGTTTTTTTTCCTTAAATAGGGCCTCTTTCTTTCTGCTGTCATTCTCAAGCTTGGGGGGACTTGTCCACAGAGAGAGATGTCTAGGGATAGAGATAGCCTTCAATGTTGGATCTAGTTGGAAGTGAAACTTTTCTCTTGACCATTTTAGTAATTTGACCCAATATTTTGTGCTTGTCCCTAGCAAGAAAAACAAATCTTACAAAAGTCTTTCTTCATTTGCTTTAAAAAGAAGCTGTGGTGAGAGCAGCTGCAGATACAAAGCAGGTCCCCTTAGTCTTTCCACTAGTCACCTTCTAAGTGAGCTTTTTAGCCCTCAGCAGCTAAGACCTTGAGACTTGATTCTTCAACTCCCTGGTAGGAGATCTTTTAAATCTGTAGCTGACTTCTATGTGCTACGTATTTTTCCATGAATCAGAGAAGAAATATGCAGCTCTGTAGCCACAGGGCTGTAGCACCCTGCCAACTCACCCTTTGTGTCTTTCCAAGCCTTGTTTTTTCATGTGTCACATGTAAGTGAAGAGTCATAATGACAATCCAGCTGGATTTATTAGTGGTTGAATAGACTATCAAGAAAAGATTTATTAACCAAGAAGTGAATTCAATGTAAAAGAACTGAAGAGTCCAAACCATGTCTCTATTATACATTTTTAGCACCTTCAGGAAAACTCCCTGCTAACGGCCACTTCTGGAAATTCAAGATATAACGGCTTTTCCTGAGTGCCGTTATGCCTTGGGTACTATGATGTTTGCCCATAGTCTCTCTGAAATTCAACAAGTCATCAAGGTAAGTTCTAACCCCTTTTTATAGGTGGAGAATGAGGAGAACACTAGTCACAACCCATGTTTTCTCCCTGGTACCCTCAGGCAGACAGTTGCAGGTAGTGAGTACTTCCGGGTCAAAGTTGAGATTCTCCAAGGTGTTTGCTGTCCTTAGCTGTGGGTGTCCTTGTGGCATAGCTCTGGTTGGTGAGATGAAGGGATGCTGACACTTGTTGTTTCTTCCGGTCTGGGATGTGGGTGTGAGGCTAGCGACAAAGAAGCCATGCTGTAGTCTTGAGCTAACCACAAAGAAGAAAGACACACTTGAAAGCTAACGGGGCAGGAAACCAGAAACAAGCCAGTGTCTGATTAATCCAGTGAGGCTGGGATTCTGGTAGATGACTGAACACAATGCCTAACTAATTCAGAGAAGCTGGGCTGGAAGTTAAGGGGTTCGCTCATACTTCTGTGTGAAGTGAGACCTGATGTGGAGTAAGATGTGGTATCTACTTGGGAGAGCACATCCTGGTTTGGAGTTTGGGAGACAGCTGCATGAAGGAACGTTCAAACGTCATTGAGAGTGCCATGGGAAGCTATGGGAGCAAAAAGAGATGAGACAGAAGTGGAGATGAAGTTGTGCTACAGAAAAAGAAAGGCAGAAAGGAGATTATAACTGGAGATGAGTGGAGCGGAGGCAGCACCAACGAGCCAGGGGCCACATGCTGTCTGCAATGTAGGGCATAAAGCAGAGGGCAGCAGCAGAGGCATTCAGCCATTGCTACAGAATTAGCCACCCTCAAAACCAAGTGGCTTACCTCCATTTTATCATTTCCCATAATTCTACAGTCTGAGCTGAGTGCAGCTGGGTGGTTCTGGTTATAGAGCGTAATTTGGGGTTTGAACACTCAAAACAAAACAAAGCAAAACAAAAACCTTCTTTACTTGAATATTTCGTGCCTTTAGCCAATTCTCTGGGCCTCACTGTCTTCTTCATGGAGCTTCTGTGTGGATAATTTGGGCTTTGGCGTAGCTTGGCGATCTCTGTGTGGTTGGATTTCTTTCCTGTGAGAGAAAAAGTGGCAGTGCACTCCATGTGTGGCCCCAGGAGTACCGGAACGTCATCTCTTGTAAGTTGCACTTTCAACATCATTCTGTTGCTCAAAGCACACTGGAGGCCAGCCTGGTCAGGACAGGAAGTGTCGTCTGCTTCCAGGTGGGAAGGCTGACAGCCAAATGGAGGGAGGTGCAGTAATTGTGGCCTTCTTAGAGTCCCTGTGCAGGGGTGGAAGGGCAGGATAAAAGACGGCCAATCCGTTCCTCAGAAAGATTGATATGAATACCAGACCTGGGATTTCTGCTTCATATCTGAAATTGGAAAGGAGAATTCCTCTCATAGCCTGATTCGAGCTTTAGTAACAAAAAAGGTGTGGTTGGGTAGAGGTCTGGGGTTTGGCTTCTCTGACCCCCCCTCCCCTCCACTTCCATGTGGTATGGAGAAAGCACAAAAGTTCACATCTGTCGTGGAGATGCTGGAGTCAAGGGTCAGAGTTTTCTCTGGGGCACTAATGGAGACACAGTCAGAGCTAAGGTGGGGTCTGCCTGGGCAAATCACTGAGTCCTGACTAAACCGAGAGAGCCAACAAAGGATTCCATAACACTTGCAGAAAAAGTGGTCAAGGGTATAGAGGACATGGCACCAACTCCAGACACCCATCTTCTAACTCTCCCAACTCTTACCTATAAAGTCACAAAGGAGGGCAGCTCTCCCACCGGAGAAATAACCAGGTCCAGGACAGACAGCCTAGGGAGATGAAAACACCTGAAGAGTTGAAAGTACCCTCCCCAGGCTGAAAACATGCCTGAGGGGGTTTACAAACTACTAGTGGGGCTGAGAGTATCCTTAAAGGTCTAAGGATGCTGATGTGTGTGTGTGTGTGTGTGTGTGTGTGAGTGTGTGTGTGTAAGCACACCTCAGCGACTGAGGACATTTCTGAGGAGCTGAGAACATTCTTGAGGAGCTGAGAACATTCTTGAGGGGCTGAGGACACTCTGGAGGGGCTGAGAACACTCCAGAAGACCCAAGAAAACTCCTGAGGGGGATGAGAACAAGCCTGGAGGATTTGTGGATACTGTTGAAGGATTTGTAACACTCCTGAAGAGGCTGAGGATAGACCCAAGAGGCTAAGAACACCCCTGAGGGGCTGAGGGGGATGATGTCAGTGGTCTCTTCATAGCATTTCCTATACTGTACTAAAATTTCCCCAGCAAGAGACACTGAAGGACAGTTAAGTATAAGTGCTGGTGGCTTGGGAGTCAAGCTGAGGGAATTAGTAATTTACAAACGGTGGAGTGTGGACATGGCTTGTAGGTAGGTGATGGGATGGGTAGGAGGTCCTTAGCCCAGCTGTCTGAGATGAGAGCATCCAGGTGGGGGAGGGGTATTTAGGTAGAAAGTTGAGTTGAGTCAGCAGGCAGCTTGGGTTCTGAGGTGGTGGTGGGGTGTCTGGGAAGACACAGCATGGAAGGACGCAGGAGTCTGGATTCCAGGAAGGAAGTGTTGGAGGCTGCAGCATTGGTGCAAACAGAAGCAGAGGCAGTTGAGAAGCATTAAGGGAAAGCAGAAGAGAGAATCGTGGCGAGGAAGGGCTGGGGTGGGTGGGGGGCATCAGTTGTTCTCAGTCTCGCAGAAACCCTGTCACTGAGGCTCTGAACTCACTAAGAGAAAACACACACCCTCCCCACAACAATCCCTCTTCCTGATGGGAGGCAAGGCAGATTGGCCCTCCTCACCCACTGTATCCAGTTATGTCTAGGTTAGCCTGCCTGTAGGGCTGGCTTTACTTTCTCTTCAGAAACCCCGAAGGTACATAGAGGAGGCTTCCCCAACTTTCACAGAGCCAGCTGAAGTCCGTTCTTGGAACCCAAGAGGCCCAGCCCTTCCCTTCAAGGTCAGACTTGATGAGGTTGCAGAGCCTCCTGACATATGGGCCATGGCCTCCCACATCAGAGGCCGCTTTGCCTTGAGAGAAAGGTGAGGAGAATGGGTGGGAGCTGCAGAATTGCCTCCTGAAGTCTGTCTGGGTACTGTGGCTTTTGTGTCCTCACAGTGAAGACACTCAGGGCTCACAGTCTGGTTGGTACCGGCATTTCTGAGCCCATTGCCTTTTTCATATTTATTTTGGCAACCCTGTTCTAGGGCCGCAGAGTTGAATGTCTCAACACTGAGCTCTTTGGAAACTTCACATCTTCAAGTCGCTGGCACCACACTGGCACTTCTCTCTCCCTGGCCTCCTCTTTTGAAGGAGTATGACGCTATTAATAAATGACATGATTTCCTTTGGGTGGGTTTGTTGGCAGTCACAACAACATGCACAAGCTGTTCTGAGCAGTGTTGGTCATCGGTGACTTTAGGGGAAGCAGATCTGAGAGGGACTATAGATGACCTGGCTCTTATACGGGTTCCTCATTCCCATTGCTTTGTAGTTAAAATAAACACAAGGATTTGTCAGCCTGTGTTTATCCTAGGTGATAACCTGGGCATTCTCTCTTTGAACCAGAAAAAGAAAAGTTTTTTTTTTTTTTTTTGAATGGTATTGTTTTGTGTGTGGAGGGGCGGGGGGGGGATGTTCAGTTGGGTGTGTGTAGAGCTAGAGGTTGACATCACATATCTTTAACTGGTTATCAACCTTATTTTCTTTCTTTCCTCCTTTCTTCCTTCCTTCTCTCCTTTTCTTCCTTTTTTCTTTCTTTCTTGAGACAGGATTTCTCTGTGTAGCACTGGCTGTCCTGTAGACAGCTCTGTAGACCAGGCTGGCCTCAAACTCGCAGAGATCCCCCTGCCTGTGCCTCCCGAGTGCTGGAATTAAAGGCGTGCACCACCACTGCCCGCCAACCTTAAGTTTTGAGTCAGAATCCTCTACTGAGCCTGGGTCTTATCATTTCTGCTAGACTGGATGGACAGGGAGGTCCTGAGATCTACCTGCCACCACTTCCCAGCCCTGGGATTACAGACATCCCCAGGATGATGCTTGTCAAGTCCTCATGCTTGTTAAGTCCTCATGTTTGCTCAGTCAGTACTCAGCTGTGCCCTCTCCCGGGGTTCATTGGTTCCCAATTTGGATTCCAATGTGATGTTTACATTCTAAACTGGACAGAGACTCACAGGAGGGGGAGGTGAAATGGGGTGGGTAGGAGTGGTGATGTGGGGTGAGGGTGAGTCGGAGGGGTGAGATGGCATGAGGGTGGGTGGGAAGGGTGAGGTGTCAGCCATAAATTGGAATTGAGGAAATTTAGGGAAAGCCAAAGCAACAAAGCAGCATTTCAGAACCAGGGAATTTCTCAAAGCATTGTTCCAAAACAGTGGATTTCAATTACAGTAGTAGGAAGATGGATGGTGGGAACGCAGGAGGGTCTCGGCTTGCTTAAAAGCAGCCCGCCATCAAGAGCGATGCAGCCATGTAATACAATAATTGAGGAAAAGAAAGTTTTCATGCAGCAAACACTCCAGTGATTCACTCCAAACAGATCCTGGCGTTGCTTCCAGGGTGGTTCACTCACCAGCTTGGAACTCACCAGTATAAACGGCAGCCTTCTGGTGCAAGACACATGCCAAGGTAAGCAGGTGCAGCAGAGGGCAATCTGCACTCTGTTTCTTTCTGCCCAGCAACCGGCATTCAGGCAACTGAGGCAAATCCCACCAGGTTCTCTGCCAATCCCCCTGCAGCCGCTTCCAAGTGAGCTGGCTGGGATGGAAGGCTCAGCTGGTGACCTGACCACTGCCTTGAGGTTTGCTTCTGTTGTCCGGAGGGTCTGACTTCTCCTGATGTGTTTTCTGGCTATCAGAACCCTTTCAGCAACCCCTCTGACTCTGGGCTTGTGGTTCTGTGATAGTTGCCCCACTCCAGCCCTGCTAACTCACTTGACTCTGCTGGGGGAGGGGTGAGTGGAAGGCCCAGGCACAACAGTGTCAGGAAACTGCATTGTAATCCGCTCTCCAGAGAAGAGTTGTCATTTTAAAGGGATTTCCAGGTGTGTGTGTGTGTGTGTGTGTGTGTGTGTGTGTGTGTGTGTGAGAGAGAGAGAGAGAGAGAGAGAGAGAGAGAGAGAGAGAGAGTGTAAGGTGGGGGAAGACAACGATAAGGCTGAGGAAATTGGAGGGATAGGAAGAGGATGATGAGGAAGATGAGGAAGAAAATGGTGGCTGCCATTTATTAGTTCCTTCTCTCATGTCCCAGCTGTGGTGTTGTGATGCTCTGGTACATTCTCCTAGGCAACCAGGATATATGTACGTGCTATCCTTATCTACCATGGTCAAATTAATCCCCTTTAAAGCAACTCAAGGAAAATCCTTCCTTCCTTCCTTCCTTCCCTCCTTTCTTCCTTCTCTTCTTTTTTGTCTGAGACAGGTTTCTCCGTGTAGCACTGGCCATTCTGGAACTTGCTCTGTAGACCAAGTTGGTCTCAAACTCAGAGATCTGCCGGCCCCTGCCTTGTGAATGCTGGGATTAAAGGTATGTGCCACCACCACCCCATGTCACTCAATTTCTATGGGTGACATTCAGCAAGTCTTACAAGGCTCCTTATTCCAGGAATCCCATTTTGGGGAATCTATAAAAACTCTAGAATAATAAAAGTAACACTAGGCATCACGTTTTGGATGGTGAGCATATTGAGGGGTTTCCACATGTCGAGTCAGCCCCGAGAGCAGATAATCTGAGGACTAGTGGAGAGAGACCTTGCCCAAGACCGGTGCTACCAGGTAGATCTACACCCCTCGCCTGGACCCTCACAGAGGCCCTGTGTTACAAGGCCGGTGGTGAGAAAAGCAAGACCCAAAGTCTTGCCCTTACATTCCACGAGGAGTGGCCACATGTGATGGAATGCGCTGTGTCTCCTCATCTGCCCAGGCTCCTCACCCTCGTCTCTCAGACCACTTCAATCTGTCCCTTTTCTGGTTTCCTTCAGTGCATTGGGGTTTCTTCAGTGCAGCATGGAAGTGTCCAACTCCTTTTCCTCCAGGCACAGTGTTGCTCAAAAACGTGGCCCAAGGGTCCAATTCAGAATTATCTAGGGGAGCGTCTACAAGTGCTGGCCCACTGAATTGGAATCCCTGTTCCAGACTCTTGTTGGTCTTCACAGTAGGAGAAAAAAACACACTGGTGTAGCCTCCCAGGAGCAGGGACCTGGCTCACTGTGTCCCCAGCTGAGCACCTGGTGATATGTGGAGGAATTTCCTAGGAGGGAAGTGAGAGTCAGGACATGTGGAGTGACAGTTGTGGGGTGACTGGAAAGGGAAGAGTGAGAGAGCATTTGCAGGAGAATGAGAGGGAGCAGGAACTCTCTCACTGTTTTCTCCATCCCTTTTCTCCCTCAGACACATAATTCAGTTGCAGAAAATAATCTTTTGAAACTTGAACTCCAAACGCCAGAATGAGTAATTGGGTCTAAAGTGGGTCACGAGGAAGTGATAACTAACACAGAGACTATTCTAACTGCTGAATCAGAAATCTCCACACCACGGTATGAAATACACAGGAAAGGAAAATAAACAGACGATAGGAATGGAAGGAACCCTACCATATTATTTCCACCCACAAATTCTGACTTAACACACACTCAGGGGCTGGGGATGCTCTGTTACTCCCAAGAGCTTAAGAATTGAAATAAAACAGATAGATAAGAAAAGCCCCAGGAGAGGTAGATGCCACTGAGGATTGTGCGAGCCTCGCCTAAGAGCACCCTTGATCCATGTGTCTTGGTTGCTCTGCTCCACCAGCAGCAGGTGTGCAGCAAATCCAGAATACCCTAAAATAAACTCATAAATAAAGACTTAAAAATGTTTCATTTCCCTCCTCATATAAACAAAACCTACCTCTTTGGGTTTTACTGACTTCACGCACGTGTGTGTGTGTGTGTGTGGGGGGTGGTAGTGAAGAAGGTTTGTGTAGTGCACACGTAAGAGCATACATGTGAAAGCCAGAGGTCAATCTTGGATGTTGTTCCTCAGAAACCAAAAAATCTTGTTCTCTCAGACAAGGTTTCTCTCTGGCAGAAGCTTTAGATGAGTGGTCCATGAGCCCCAGGAATCCTCCTGTGTCTGCCTTCCAGGTTGGAGTTACAAGCATACACTACCTTTGTTGCTGTTGTTTTTAATTTAAATGTGGGTCTGGGGGACCAAACTCAGGTCCTTATGCATACACAGCAAACACTTTGAGCTATCACCCCAGCTCCAGATTTTTTGTGATAAATATATGTAACTTAATATATGTTATTATTTGAACCATTCTTTTGTTGTTTTTAGAGAGGTTTCTAGGCTGGCCTAGAATTTGTTACGTAGAGCAAGATGGTTTGGAACCCACACAGAGCTCTGCTTGCATTTGCCCACCAAGACCGGAGAGTAAGGCTGTGCACCACCATGTGCAATTTCACTCATTCACGATTCATTGACATGGAACACATTTCTGGTGTCTCACAACCATCATGATTCTAGAACTTTATCTGCACAGAAACTGTACCAACAAGCAATAATCACTTTCTTCTTATTCCTAAGCACTTGGAAATATCACTCTACTTTATACCCCTCTGAATCTAATAACTTTTGTGTGGTGGTGGGTGTGTGTGTGTGCGCGTGCGTGTGTGCGTGCGTGCGTGTGTGTGTGTGTGTGTGTGTGTGTGTGTGTGTGGGTGCTGGAATGATGGCTCAGGGGTTACAACTGCTTGCTGCAAGGCAACAGGACCAGAGAAGCTGGGTATCTACAGCCATGACCCCAGCATAAGGGAGGCTGTGGCAGGAGGATGGTTAGAACTCACTGGAATAAAAAAGGAATGAGGCAGAGAATGATAAAGGAAGATACCTGATGCTCACACATATACACCACACACACAGAGAGATACAACATAAACACATACAACATATACAACACACATACATTATACCTACACAATCATCTTTCTCATACACACCACACACACAACACATACACATGACATACATAATATATATATATATATATATATATATATATATATATATATATCACATAGCACACACATACATACACAGCACACACACGCACACACACACACCAGCATGTCTGTGGCAGTCTCTCAAGGCCTGCAATCACAGGAGCTGCAGCTGAGCCTGCAGGGATGCTTGCCTAGTCAGTGGCTACTTCAGAAGACATGAACCCCGAGCTAATGGACCCCACATCTCACCCAAGAGGCCGAAGACAGGCCTATCCTTTGCTCTGTCTTCCAGGTTCCAAGCAAGACCCCCTCTTGCTTTAGAGACATAGCAAATCTACTTTTCCAAGGCTGTGTATCACCCACACACCCTTGGAAAGATGGTCACATGACAAGTGATCCGTATCTCTGGTCACAAGTTACACGGAACTGTGGGAGTATGCAGAACTGTTTCCAATATTCTCCTTTTCAGGAACTTCAGTGTCTTTTTTGGACAGGGCTATCTCGCAGGTCTACCTCTAGCCAAAAGAGAGGGCATGAAATTGAGTGCATCTGGGCAAATCAATGCTGCAATAAAACTGTGGTTCTGTTTGCAAGGAAGTGAACAATACTGGAGCACCCTTGGAGCAACACAAGTTCTGTGCCCAAGTGTTCTTCATCTCTGTGACTGAAATCCTTTTCCCATGGCTTATTGATTTGTCCAGAAGTAATTTGCACAACTCAGACATAAAATCTTTTAGTTCCCCCTCCCAAAGTACCCTTCTATTAGTTTTGAGTAAGGTATTTGACTCCCCAAAGTGTACACAATTTCAAAGCTATAGCTGAGTAAAGTCCAATGGTATAGCTCACAGCGGAAGAGTTTGCTTGCCTAGCCTGGGCAAGCCCATAGGTTCAGTCCTCAGAAGGGGGTGGAGAGAAGCAAGTCATGTGGTGGTCCTTAAAATTATCTATTTTTGGTGTTTTTGAAACGAGGTCTGCCTGTCTCCCCATGTAGCCCAGGCAGGTCTTGACATCCTGTCCTCAGCTTCCTGAGCTGGGATTACAGGCCTATACATCCTATCCCACTTGGCTCAGTCTTTGTAATGAAGAAAAACTCTGCCTTAAAAGTTCCTCCATTTTTTGGAATATCTATAGCTTAAAAAAACACACTCTACCCTTCGAACAGATAGGTGGTTAGAAAGAGATTTATAAATACGCCTTTTCTGGTTTCATTTATTTTAAGAGTATTTTTTCACCTCATGACAGTCACTTGAGGCTGACAATGTTTCCATGGTAACCAGTGTCCCCCCCCCTAAAAAACACTGGTTGCTGGTAAATATCATCCTTCAGTGTCTCAACACCTTTGATTACAGCATTGAGTCCCCATGTGAAAAGGCTTCATGTTAGGGCAAAGGCCACGCCCAGCACGGCAAGGAAGTGCACAGCGGATCTGCTGGTTCCTGGGGGGGCGGGGGGGGGCTATGTGAGGACCCCAGGGGGAATCTGACTCAGCCTACATGGTATGGTTCACTTCCCCCACCAAAACGTCTTTGTTTCCTTTTCAGCTGCATGGAGAGCTCGGAAGCTATCCTATACCAACATGGAAGGGGCGGGGTGGGGTGGGAGTGAGCGTGCCTTGCCCACAGCCCCAGAAACTTGCAAATAACTTTTCAAAGCCTTTGCTACATGATTTTTGAAAGACAAATGCTCCTCTCCTGAAAGGGAGGGAAGGTTTTGAATCAGGGCGGTGCAACTTAGTTGATTCAAATCCGAATCCAGGGGCATCATGGGAATAGTGGGAAGGACTAGATCAGGGCAGCTGAAGGGAGGCTTGAGTCTCTTCTGCACTAATGGGGAGAGAGTTTTGTTTTTAGCAAGGTTTGCAAGCAGA